AACCAACCAGCCATCAATTCATTTGGCATCTGCAACAGGCAATATTTGCATGCAAATTTAAGCGAAACTTCAATCACTCGGCATTGCGCAGCCTAGTGCTGTATAGCACATCAGTTTATGTAGCAAACGATACGACGACATCACTAAAGTGTAACAAGACCAACAAACATTAAGAGGCATGAAACAGGGAAAATAAGAAACTAAAAAATTAAGCAGAATAAAAACCCCAGCTTGGCAAAAGAAATATTGAGCTCACAATAACAAATCAAGCCCAACACCGTGGGCACGTCTTATAAAATTTATATATTTACGTGTGTGTGTGTGTGTGTGTGTGTGTGTGTGTCTATGTTTGTGTATACAGATATGCCGCAAAGTTTCATAGCAATACTTTGTCTCAGGGCTTTTTTTAAGACAATAACACATTTAAAGTTTAGTTAAGCTAAGCGCAAGCAAGCAGCAATCTGTGACTTATATCGTCAGTCAGACTTCAATATTTCTTGGGTATCATTATTTGAACACATTACTGAGCACAGCAAATACAATATGCTGGGTGACTGCGCCTGACTAACTGACTGACTGAAAGTCAGAGCGACTAGTTGGCTGGCTGATGCGATGGAAAGTGCAATATTTGAAAAAAAAACAACAACAACAAAAAAAAATGTCAATATAATTCAAAGTCAACATTAAGCACATCAACAGAAAGACAAACAACATACAAATATATATATATATATATATATATATATATATATATAGGCAAAAAGAGCTCATCAAATTGTCTATGGAAAAGAAAATCAAATCAAACCAAATCAAGTCAATATATACAAGCACATATACATACGAACCTATGGCCAAGACAGTCAAGTTAATCTGACAGACATTCAGTCACTTAGTTTCTCAGACTCACTGCCAAAGCCACTATTACTTTGCTTTATATTCTTTTACTAATGCTTTTTGGTATAATTTTCACGCCATATACTCGTTTAGAGTTTCAACACATGCATCTGTTTATTATACGCCTATCTGTGTGTGTGTGTGCCAGTGCTTGTGTCATTCTTGTGTTCATGCCTCATTTTGCATTAAAAGAAAAAAAAAAAAAAAAAAAATAGCAAAACACTCTACATACGAGTATATATTGAAAGCATTTGCAATTACTTGAAGATTGATTGAAATAGATTTCAGATTGATTGGTGTCAGGCTGCTGTTGTTGCTGCTGTTGCTGCTGTTGCTGCTGTTGCTGTTGCTACTGCAACTCAGTAATGCGAAGGAAACAATACAAAAACATACCTAGATAGATACCTATGTATACATATATGAGACACGTAAATAACTTTTGTACAATAGATCACCTTATTACACAATGGCATAAACAACAACGAAACAAAAAAATAATAAATAAAAAATAAAAAAAAAAACCAAAAAAATATCTTGAGAAAAGAATTTTCAGCACCTTTTCTGATAAACTCTTTTTTTAATCAATTTGTTTTTTCTTAATTTAATTTTAATGCAATAAAAGGCTCATTAAAATCTTCTTAAAACGACACAAAAGGAAAAAGTAAAAATGAAAATTTCTTGTAAATCTTTACTTTACTTTATCCGTATAGTAAGCGGTAAATTTCTGTTATAATATTTTTCATCTAAGACCTCTCAAGACTGATAAGTAACTGATAGATGACGCAAGTAACCAGTCACAATAATCTTTCAAAAGCAACTAGACTCTAAGATCATGTTATCATTATCGCAAAACAATCTGCCTATTAATGAACCTATTTAAGCTCATATTTTACTATTATTTTATTGTATGTATATTTCATTTATTTTATTAGATTTTTGATATTATTGTGCAAACTCTCAAAAATATTTCCTTCATTAGTTCTTGTCACTCACACATAACTTCGTATCTTTTTATTATAAAAAAAAAAAACAGGCGTCCTCGTATAACACATATCGTGCTTAATACATATCGTGCTCTATAGAAACCGTGTTAATCGAAACGCTTTTATATATTTATATAAACCACGATATCATATAGAATATCGTCATATAAATTTCGAAATAATATAAACCGAGGCAAAAGGTCTACTTGTTATATCGAAACTAAGACTTAAGGTGTAAAATATTTTGATGAAAATTTTATTAAGAAAATATCATTTTATACGTTATACGATATTAAAAAAAAAAGCAAATAAGAGAATTAAATTCGGTAGAGACCGAATATCTTACAACTATCGCCGTTTACTCAAAAGAAAAGACAAAGGAAGTAAAAGTGCAAAATTCTCATTCTCTATAATGTGGAGCGGGCGCAGTTGTTTTTGTTGTTTTTATTCTACAGGCATCTGGGCCTGGTAGGCATGTCCTTTGAAAATTTTAGGCCGATTGCAAATTCTTGGGCAAATTTGTAGGCGATATTTTCATTTTCGCTAAGGAGAGAATGTTTACCACAAGTACTACAAAATTAGGCACACAGGCACAGGGGAAGGCGGACAGGCGGACAGGCGGACAGGCGGACATATTTAGGTGCATTCAAGAGTTGTAACTGGTCAAGAATTTGTATACTTTATGGGGTTTTTGAAGCTTGTTTCTGCGTTTTATAAAGGTATTGAAAAAATAATTAAATTTTTGGATAGGCGTGGTCAATTTTTTCCATTTTTGTGCACAAATGCTACAGCATCACCCCCAAAATGTACGTTCAAATTTTTGTCTATCTATCTGCTATGGTTTATGAGTAAAAAGCAAAAAACCAATTGTTCATTCCCTTCGAAAAACAGAGGTGATCTCAGTTTACGTGGTTCTGTGGGCGTATCCCTTGACAGATTAGGCCCATTTGCACTACCAATCTACGTGCAAGTCCTTTCAATGTTTCTGTCAAATTTGAAGTCGATAGCTTCATTTTTCCTGCCAGGAGAATGTTTGCAACAGATATTGCACAAATGGACAGACGGACATGCTTAAACCTATTTATATATACTTTGTGGGATTTGTGATGCTTCCTTCCGGGCGTTGTAAATGTTCTGACAGAAGTGTACACACCTCTCCTCCTGCTATGAAAAAAACAAGTAAAGACACCAGACACGGGGCATGGCTCACCATTAAATACCTTATACTACCCTGCAGTTAACTATATATCGACTCTTCAAAATAAGGTGTTGCATAGGAAATGGTCGAAAATTGTGGTCCGATCCGAAACATTTTCAATAGTGTTTGTCCTTGAGCGAAAGCACGTCAATGTACCGAATTAAAATTTATCAAAGTTTGCAGCCTTTAGGTTGACAAGAAGATAGCAAGGCAGACAGACGGACAGACAATCTTAAAATCATTCCTAAATCTGTCTGTCTGGGTTAATAAAAGTTGTGTCTATCTTAACCCCTTCTGGGTGTTGCGTATATCTGCACAAACTTAATATACCGTTGTACCACATGTGGCATCGGATATAATCCGATGAATGATAATGAAAATCACAAATAATAAATCGATTCTTTATCTTAATTCTTTTATATAATCGGAAGGATATCGAATATTTATTGCGTCAATGTGTTCTTGAATATTTTCATTGCTGTTGTCTGTTAATCATTATCTCATCCCAGCTTGTTTTTTATGCGTTAATCCTTATCTAAATTGCATTGGTTGTAATCCTTCAGTTCGAGAAGACGATTTACATATTAAGATATTTCTTGGTTGTCCGAAATTATTCGATACATTTTGGATGAAGAAAATGGTTTACAATGCGAAAAAAAGAAACACATCCACGAAGTAAGAGCAAAGTCAATTCTATTGATCTTTCAGTTGCTATTTAAAAGTTTCCCTTTGCAGTTGTTTTGTGCTTATATAGTACGACCTTTTTTGCTTCGAAAATACTACAAACAAAAACAGTTCGTTACTAAAATCTTAGTTTTTCTTTTCAAATGTAAGCCATTATTCGGACAGACTTTACTGCTATACTCAATTCTATATACACCGTTCGAAATGAAGCTGGCATTGATGCCCAGTAAAAAGAAAGTAAATACATTACAATCGAGAAAGGTCAACCATTAAACACTCTACGCTAATTCGCCTGATGCGATTATTCGCTCGTCTTGCTAATAATACAGCAAACATGACCTTCAGCTTGAAACATATGTTCACATTGAGTGATATTTAGCTTTGAAGCTTCCATTCAGAATCATTTTCCGAATCGATTGATATAATGAAAGTCGGGTCTATGTTAAGCCCTTCTGGGTGCTGCATTAATTCACAATTACCATCAAAGTCGGGGAAATAATTCTCTACGCATTTTAACTACTCTCCAGCCCCATTTCTCTTGCTTAATATTAGATTATTCTCAAATTATCTTTCATTGGTCAGTAATCTGTCTGTAATCTGTGCAGGAACTGTTGAATTTTTGCCAATTTGAACTGCTGCCAATTTTTTTTTTTTTTTTTTTTTTTCTAATCAAACTTTTCATGATTATAGTAAGCTATCTATGATCGTAATGTGGGTGCTGCGGTACTCAGCTTCGGATTCAATTTATTCGATATGTAATCAATTTCATGTATCGACTTGACAGATGTAATTATAATTTGTAAAATGAAAATATTGCTTACCTTAAATTTATTTAAAAGAATTGTTTTCTCTTTTAATTTTTATATTTTTTAAATTTATCAAAAATTATTTTATTATTATTATATTATCATCAATATTTTTAACAATTTTTCCATATTAATTAATTCTAAGCAATTTTATTAAACTATATAATAAAAATAGATCTAATTATAACTTTTATAATAAAATAATTTAATAATTTATTGTAAGCATTCTATGTAAAAATTAATAATAATAATAATAATAATAATAATAATTTTATTAAACAAATTTGCTAATTGACTAAAAAGAAAATTCTCTGTTGCGTAAAATTCTCTATTAAATGAAAAAGAATAAGATAAAAAAAAAATATTTTCTTTTATATTTATCTGCAAAAAATTCTAAATTCTATTGAAATTTATGTATGTTATCTTTTATTTAAAATTTTCAGCGGACTTTAGACTTTCAATCATTAAAAAATTCTACACCTTGTTAGTTAAATCTAAAACGTCATTTGTTGTTATTGTTGTTGCTGTTGTTGTTACTGCTGTTGTATTAGTCGTTATAAGTTTTGTTGCAACAGCTTCAGTTACAAGTATTTTATTATTTGTCAACGTCTCCTGATTCAGATTTAAACACTCAAGCTTCCTTTTGTTATTAGGCTTACTCGTTACAAACAAATGATCATCATTTCTATTATCTCCAATATTTTCATTGTTGTTATTATTATTGTTTAGGAATTTCTGCCTTAAATCAAAATCGTCATCACTTTCGCGCACCGCTTCGACGGGCGAATTGCATTTTGTACTGCTCGCCGAACTGATTACCGATGTGATCGCCTTCATACTTAAATCAATGGGATTATCTTGAGCGTCTGTTTGGCTAGTCACAGTATTGGCAGTGATAGGAGTGTTTTCGGTAGGTCTTAAGAGCTGCGCCGTTATACTGTTGACGGGCGATCTGGGCGGTGTCATCGACACTACTAAATCAACTTCTTCGTCATCCTCGTCGCGTTCTTCTTCGCCCGCCACTGCTCGACAGTCGCTGTCTCGACCATTACTGGACGAGTCTTGCTGATCGACATGATGATTTTGGTTTGTTGTTGACTGATTCGTTTGCGTATGCAAACCCTCCTCCCCATCTTCGTCTTCATCGTTACTTTGCCGACTACTGCTGGTTAAGCGTTCTCGACCACTCTCAGAATTGGGAGTAACCAGAGCAGATATTGAATGATCGTGTTTACTATGAGCAGGTAATCTAGTGGCTACTGGCGGTGGGGATTGACGTTGCGATTTTAGTACAGCATCCAAATAAAAACGTTTAGTGAACTCTTCGGCTGCCTTATTGCCATTGGGTAAGTGGTTATTATTAAAAGCATCTGAACGAGGTGGTGGCGATCTGCAGTGTTGATTAGTCTCCAATTTTGTGGTATTGCAACTTTGACTATCGGTGCTCAGAGCCGAAGCAGCAAAGCGAGGACTATTGTTGAAGAGCTGCTGTACGGCAGCAGCAGCTGCTTGCTGTTCAGGCGAGGGTTTTAGCAAGCCAGCGGCAGCATGATGCTGATAGAGAGCGGGATGATAGCCGGGAAACAATAAATGTGATGGCGGTAAAAAGCTAGGTGGAGGCATTACCGGCATAGCCGATAAGCCAGGAAAAGCAGATAAAGGCAAAAAATGAGGGAGATCTTTACGTAATTGGGCGGTAGGAGGCGGTGGCAAACCCCCTAATGAGCCTGACGAGGAACTAGTAGCTGGAGTTTCGTTGCAACTAACGCTAACTAATTTATTACCGCCGCTCATGTGCAGCAGGGCTGCTGCATTCACCACTCTACCATTAACCTCAACCGAGCTGTCCGAATGATGAGAATCCGGCGAACTAACAGAAGGCGAGGCAACCGGATGTTTCGCGTACTCTTCCAAACTCAACATCATCAACTCCTCTTTGGTACGCGGTGGATATAGGCCGGGATAACCGCCAGCATGACCCAACATACCTAAAGCGGCTGCAGCTGCCGATGTAGGCATACCAGGCGTTTTCACATGCATACCTGGCGGGCCCTGCTGTTGTTGCTGTTGTTGTTGATGATTTTGATGAGCTGCCATCGCAGCAGCTGCCTGTTGCTGTTGCTCCTGCAGTAGACAATGAATTTTGAACCAATTTGAACGACGCCCATAACGAGAACCGCTCTTCGACATGCCAACCATTAAACATTTACGCAAGCGACACGCCTTGCATGCCGTACGATTCTTCTTATTAATGATGCACTCGCCATTATTCTTACAGTCCGATATCGATGACAAATTATTATAGGAGCGCCCGAAAAATGACTATAACGAAACAACAAAAACAAACCCGAGAAACCATCAAATCAATATTTATTACATTTTTAATTTAATGTTTTAACTTAACTAATTTGTTTTACTAAATGGCCACATTTTGTCATTTTTGTCAAGCGTTGTTTGCTTTTCTTAAGACAAATAAAACAAACAAAAACAACAAAAAACCAATTCTAAATAGTGCTTAGATATATACAGGTAAGCATGCTGACTGGCATATAAATACACATGCATATGTAGATCCGTGGGTGTTTTCTGTGAGTGATTACCAAAGTGTGGGCTTCTCTCTCATTGCTTTTGGGTTTATTTCAGTCATTAAGATTTATATAAATGTGTTGTTGCAGCGATTTGCTAAACAAGCAGATAAATTACTGGAAAAATTTGCTCAAACATAAAGACGAGACATTAAAATTTAAGTCAAATTGTTTGTCTGCCATCGTTTGCATAATTGTAATAATTGCTGTAAATTAATTAAAGATTTTCGTCTTTTATATTATTTGTGCTATTGGATAACGAATGCGAAAATTTTAATTGACAAATCAAAATCCGTTCAGTCCGCTGGGAAGGCGGACAGGAAGGACTAAGCAATACCACCTACACATTATAATACTTTTCATACTCTGCACCACAGCCACCTGATACAGGCGGCATATTTAGTTCGTGCCGATGTATGTAACACTCAACCAAGAGACTATAAGCAGAATCACATTTCATTATCACGATCTATTCAAAAACATTTTTCGAATCGATTTAAATTTGTTTGTCTATCTATCTGTCCGTCCATATGTCCGATGTCTATGTTCAATCTGCATTTTTTCGTATATTTTCATAAAATTTACTACATGGATGTGTTTTATTTTTTTTCGAATCCGAACGAATTGAAAATATTATTTTGATCGGACAATTTTGAAGATCATTCCCCTAATAAGGTCTTATGTTGGAAAACGCGTTATATAGAAAAAATTTGCAAATTCTCAAAAGTTTCTTGACAAAAATTGCTGATTAACAATCGTTCGCTATACTAAATTGATGTAAATAATTCAGACGGAATGGGCCAATGTTTTGAACCCTTCCCAATATATTAACTTTCCTAACGAAAATTAAATCTTCTTGTCATACAATGATCCATTTAAGACTAGTCAGCCGACATATAAATTTAGTACGCTATATTTGAGCTACATAGATATATTTTTTGGATATTACCCCATATACGATTTCGCATGAAAAGTAAACCTTTGTATGGAAATAAAGGTTAATTTTTTATACTTTATTACAAAAATAGATGAAAAAGATCTCTGAGAGGAAAATTAATTTTGATGTACTTGAAGCATATCGGTTCACGGTTAGGACCACCTAGGATACAGGATGTAAGACCTTTCATGGGAAGTGTACCTTTGATACTTTATTATAAAAATAGATGAAAAAGATCTTTGAGAGGAAAATTAATTTTGATGCACTTGAAGCATATCGATTCACGGTTAGGACCACCTAGAATATAGGATATAAGATGCCTTTGCATGGAAAGGGGATATAATGTTTGGTATTTTATCACGAGAACAAGGGAAGAATTGTATTAGGCAAAGTGGTGTGGGATAGATTTGAAATTTTTTTTTAAGTAGATTTGTTTACTGGGCTTAATATTCTGTATGGGAACCCATGTCAAAGAATCACCTGGAATATGGAATAGGTTCTTACTGTAGCCGCTCTTAGACGAATTTCATGTTGTTTGAAATTCCTTTTTTTAAATTCCCTCTACCTACAGTCGTATTTTTCAAGTAGATTGGAAAATTACGTGAGAGGGCTGAGACTCATCCATTAAATATATCGTATCGTGCGTAGCGTTCCATATCGTATTTTTGTGTACAATTTGGCAGCACTTTTTAATTTAATGTAAAAACTAAAATTTTTTTTTATGTAAGTAATTCTTCGTCTTATTACGCCATTGTTGTTTGGCAATTACCAGAGATCTTTGGCTAATATTCAGTTGCAATTCTGCCTCGAATTATTTCCAAAACTGTTCACCTCGCTTTATCTTTTTCTTGGAATTAGCGGGTTATAATATTGGCATCACAAACTGTAGTTTTTCTTATTATAGATTTCAAAATGGCAATGCGCGGAGAAAGCTTAGATACCGCTCAACCTCGATACTAAGAAAATACATAATCTTTGTTTAATTCAAGTAAAAATAGTATTTAAATCCACTAAAAATCCACTTTGGTTTTTGGTGCGTGATGTATAACAAACCTCTAACAAATCTCTAATCTACATATAAGTATCTACCATATATAGTAGACATAATATAGTGACCGTAGTAGTGCAAGAAATTATATAATACGTCTCGAAAAACGAGTCCTATGACAGCTAAACGGGCGAAAGGATTTTTGCCCATTTATATATGTAGGAGTGAAGACAGAGGTTATAGATCTTTTGTCACAATATTTGTGACACATAGGAGGATAGTACAGGGACTTTATAAAGTACATAAATCCTTGATCAGGATTAAATTTTTAGTTGATTTAGGCAACTGTATCGATGTGTTTGCCTATCGGTCCGTATGCCCATCTATCTGTTTGTCTATCTGTCTATCCGTTGACCCATATTTCCATACATATGCCTGCATGTCCGTCTATCCGTTTGCTTAAATCCCCCGTCAAGCATTCTCTTGATTTACCAAAACATTGAAAGTTCTCCCGCACAGTTCGGTATGGAAAATGGCAGGATTCAATCAATGACACGCGAAACCACGTAGCGTAAACCAAAGACATCTCCATTTTGAAAAGCACATAGAATTTGCTTTACTGCAGATAAAACGAAAAAATGTACTCGTATATTTTACGAACGATTCTGTAGAATCGTGTATAAAACGATCAAAGCCGACAATCAACCCATCCAATTTTATATGGAATATGGAAATATCATGGTTGCGATCCTTTCTTCAGAAAAAGATGTCAGGTATAGACGAATCCACTCCAGTTGAACTTAGGGACCTAAGGACAATTGTGAAGTGAAACGTTATATAGGCAGTCATAGTAATTTGATGATTGGCATTGAACTAAAAATGGGTGCATTCTTATTAAATAAAAGCTCAATATATTTTAAGTCACTTAATAGATGTATTTAGTTTCGTATATCTAATAAAATAAATATAAACATTTGATAGACTTCAAATATAATATATACATACGCATAGACACCTTTATACGTTAGGTATAATGAAGAGAATAGAAAAAAAAAAAAAAAACATTTGCCTCAAACACATTATTGATAGATTTGATTTTAACGGAAATAATAATAAAATTGGAAGACAACTTTTCCGCAGGAATATTCCCCATTACTCATACATATATTTATTAACATGGAATCGTTTATTTTTCGCATTTTTACTTATGGATTTTTGAAAAGTTCTTCAAATAAATCTTATTTAAGTGCGGATGCACGCGTTTTTGTTATATAATAAGACATTTCATATAAATAGTCCAACGCTCACCTACTTTATATAAGTAAAGAAAACGAATTTTGCTCGTTTTCTTCAAGTTTTAGTAACACACTAACAAACAAACGCGCTCGATAAAAAATGATTCATTTTTCTAAAATTTAGCAACTATAACAAAAAGTCATTATCATTTTCCACCTACGTGCATAAACGCATATACACATGCACACATGCCAACATATAAACAAGATACAAGCAATTTAAACTGCAATCATTGCCATTAACAATTGCATCAAGAAGCCCAAGAACAAAAGCAAAAATAACAAGAATAAGAACAAAAACAACAACAATAATAGAAACAAAAAAAAAGTTCAAGACAGAACAAATAAACAATTTAATTCAATGAGGGCAAAAACTAAAGAGCAAAACTATTTAAGCTTCTATGTATGGGCAGAGAGAGGAAACGAACGACGACCCAAACAACGAATCAACTAATCAACGAAAGAACAAACGAACGTACGAATGTACGAATGAACGATCGAACGAATTAATATATGAATGAATGAATGAATGGTTAGATGGATCGAGACGAACTGGCTGAATATACACAACAATAATACACAAAAGGTTAGCCAAACAACATTAGCCACAATAACAACAACAGATTGACTACTTTTATGTATGAAACACTTATGCCAACCAAAACATGATAGCAGTAAATCACAAGATATTTGGAAGTAAAACACAACAAGAACACTAAAACATTTTCAATGAAGAAGTAGTTAACCGAAAATTGTTGAGGAATTAAACAAAAAAAAAAAAAAATAAATAAATAAATAAATAAATATATAAAAAAAAAAAAAATAAATAAATAAAACAACCGAACGTAAAAAGAATACAATAACAAGAGAAGCAAAAAAACTACAATGCAAACAAGTACTTTTAAGGTTAATTGGGCATCAAGATTACTGGGTCGGAAATGGGATTTACGGTTACATTTGAGAGAGCAGTAACAACAGCAACAGCAGCAGCAGCAGCAGAAGCAGCCTTTAGTGTTTTGCCTTCTTTTTGCTTCGAACAGCTCTACAAATTGAAGTAAAACATTAAACAATCAAATATATTCGGCCAGCTAGTCTGCTAGTCAGTTAAGTATGATGGGTAGGTTTTTTTTTTTTTTTTTTTTTTTTTTTTATTTTCTATTTGCATGGAATTATTGTTATTGTTTTATTTAACTTAAGTAATTTTCATATCTTAAAACTGTTTAAGTGAATTGCAATTAAATTCTTGTTACTGTAATATTGCTTCTAATTCTATAACAGCATCATCATCATCATCATCATCATCATCATCATCATCATCATCATCATCATCATCATCGTTATCATCATCATCATCATAATCATTATTATCATCATCATGATAATGATTATTGTTATAATTATTATTATTATTACGATCATCGTTAGCGTGGTACCCCCTAGTAGTAGCAGTATTTGTTTGTGCGTTTGTTATCTTGTAGTTTAGGGCTTGAAAGTGTCAGATTATTGAACAAAAACAG